AGAAGGAAAATAATAATAATTGAGAGAATAAGAGAGCATATAGAATGGGAGACGTAACAATTTTTGGAGGAATAAAAGAGCCTATAGGAATTAGGTGGGAAGGAGGGAAAAATTAATAGAATTGGCAAAGAAGACAAATGTAAATTCTTGGGCGAAGAAAACAAATGTAAATTCTTTCTAATAGTCAAATCTTATCAAATGTAAATTCTTTTTAATAGTCAAATCTTATCATCAAATGTAAATTCTTTCTAATAGCCCAATTTTATCAAATGTAAATTCTTTCTAATAGCCAAATTTTATCAAATGTAAATTTTTTTGTTGATAGTCAAAATTTTGTCGAAGGGAACAAATATAGTTTATATAGTCCCAATTTTTTTTGTCGAAAAGAACAAGTGTAATTATGGTTATTTTGTGTGATAATTAAAATGTCAAAAGAGTTGGAACGATATGTTGTTTGGGATCATATTATTGGAAGAGAATTTGGATATGTTAGAGACGGGAAAGGGGCGGTGTCCCAAATTATTTGATAAAAAGATAATTAATTACTTGGCGTGCAAAGCCTAAGCGTAGGAAGCAGTGGGCCAAAAAAGAAAAAAAAGAGGAACAGAAAAAAATTATTTATTTTTGTGAAGAAATTTTTTTCGTTAAAAGTTATAATTTTTTTCGTAAGTTAAATAAAATTGGTGATTAGCTTGAATTATAAAAGACGAATTCGTTACAAAGTACGTATTTTGTAAGAATTATATAGTATAGAATATATTTAGGTGGATAATCAAAATGGATCAGAATAATGCTCCGGGTTTGCGTAGAAGTTGGATTTGTGGGAATTATGAATTGCTACTCATGGTGCGGTCCCATAGGATCGGGCAAGGGGTCGGGGAAGCGGACGGGGAACTATGAGACGAAATATGGAGGATGGAAGACGGTGTTATCGCTGCCAGGAACGCGGGCATATTCAATATAGATGTCCATGGAATCGGGAGAGGAGGGCAGATGGTAATCGGTGGGAGCAAGCTCGAGCAAGGATGGCAGAGGTTCCAGCGAGGCAGGCGATTGTGGGGGCTCGGACGGAGCAAAGGAGCAGTGAATCGAGGCCGGTCGCAGAAATTACGAGAGCGAGCAGAGATGAAGAAGAGGGAGGCGGTGAATCAAGGCCGGTCGCAGAAATTATGGGAACGAGGAGAGAGGAAGAAGAGGAGCAGCGTGAACATCGTCCAGCAGCTAGCGTGGAATGGCCCATGGTTGATTTAACAGTTGAAGGCGCATACGAGAGGATGGAGGGAAACGGTATAACGAGAGGAGAGGATATCACGGCAGCCGAGCGTATAGAAACTAGTCAAGGAGTGATGGGAACCGAAGAATGGAGGGATCTAGTGGCCGTGTTGGACGATGTTGAGGAGCTTGGAGGCTGGTTGGATGTAATGGTAGAGGATTCGGAATGGGGCAACCTCTGAGAGGAGGGGGCAGATGATCATCTTTGCTGAAGGGGGCGTGTTAAGGGAGCACTATTAAGCCTAGCACTAGAGGAAGGTAATGGCGTAATATACGAATAATAAGGAATGGAATAAATAAATATTTAAAAAAAAAGAAAGTTGATTGACTTGTGATAAATAAAATAATAAATAAAAGGGATGATTTTGTAAAAAAACATATATATATAAGCGCGAAAAGAAAAACAAACGATGAAATATTTTTTTTATGTACGATATATATTTTATTGATTTTTATTGAAGATAAAGTAAAGAAATATTGAAAGAAAAATAAAGAAATATAGAAAAGTAAAAAATATAAATAGTGTTGTTTGATATTTAAAAAAAAAAGAAATGTAGAAGAAAAAATATAAATAGGGTTAATTAACAAAAATTAGCACGATCTTATCCAATTTTGTTTGGTTATTGTAAAAACGCTTAAACACATTGTTTTATAAAATAATTATTTATTTAACTTGCAAACTAGCATAAATTGAAAAGATATATAACATTATATATCTGTGAGTGTATATACTTCTTTGAATATGAAACAGGGGCATCACTAGCCTTTACAATCTCAGGGGGCTCAACTAAAAAAAAATTTACGGGGAACGAAGCCCCCAAACCCTCTAATTTGTGGGCCTTCGGTGCGCTTTTGCCCGAGCTTCTCGATCTAGAAAAGGCTTTCGATAGAATCCCAAGAAAACTTATTTGGTGGGCGCTACGCCACAAAAATCTTCCCGAAGAATATATAAGAATAATACATGATATGTATATGGGTCATAAAACAATGGTCCGTAGCACATATGTTTCAGCAGGCTTTACAATAGCTGAAGGAGTTCATCAAGGGTCGGCTCTCAGCCCACTATTCTTCATTACAATACCTCAAACAGTCCCGTGGAATATGATATTTACAGATGATATTGTGTTACTTGCCGAATCTAAGGATGAAATGTGAGTTGGATAAATATCTTAGAAACGCACGGATTAAAAGTAAATAGAAAAAAGACGGAGTATATGGTGATAGGAGGAGATGAAACAGAGATTATTGATATAAATGAATGGCAGATATCGGCAATTGAAAGCTGCAAATATTTGGGTTCCACTATACAAACAAACGGCACAATAGAAAAAGAGATAAAGAGTAAGATTAATCAAGGGTGGTTAAAGTGGAGATCTTTATCTGGAGTGCTATTTGACAAAAGAATCCCACACAAATTAAAGGGAAAAATTTATAGTTCCATATTAAAACCAACTATTCTATATAGTTCGGAAACATGGACAACCAAAGAATTGGATGAGAGAAGTCTATAAACTATGGAGATGAGAATGCTGAAGATGAGAATGCTGAAGATGATTGCTGAGGTAACAAGAAAGGATAAAGTGCGCAGTACAAGAATACTAAGTAGTTTAAAGGTTGCTCATTTAGACTAAGTTAATGGTAAACAGACTTAGGTAGTATGGGCACACAATGAGAAGGCCTATGAACTACATAGGAAATAAAGTTGAGAGTTTGGAAGTTATGGGCAAACGTAAAAGAGGAAGACCAAAACTTCAATGGGGCCATAAAGTTAGAGACAATATAAAGAAGTATAAATTAGATAAAAGAGATTATATGAATAACAAAGTGGAGAGAGATGTTGAAGGAGATTACCACCAGAAAAGATGAAAGCTAAAGAGAAAAAAAAAATTATATTAATAAAAAATAAACTAGCATATAAATAATTAAAACAATACAAGACATAAAAATAATTTTTTAATACAACATCTATTTATTACAATATAAAGTATTTTCGATTATTGGTATAAAAAGATTTTGCGTCTAAAGAATAACAAGTGATAAAAAAGGTTAATTATTTCATACATATACCTCAATCAATAATAGTTTCTAAAAACCACATAATATAATATAATTCTTAACAACTTATATTGACAAAAGGTCATGAAGCTAATATTTCTCTCTGTTATCATTTTAGACAATGTTTAATAGGAAAAATTTATAGGCCTAACCAAATTAACAATTCTTGAAGAAGAGAATATAAACGACCAATCCAAATCATAAAAATATATAGTGGTTAGAGCTTACTTTTAGATAACATGATGGAAGCTAGATAAGTAATAGAGATAATTATTGTGAGATATATTTCTATAGGATTATCTTCCATTTTTAATGATATATAAACGACTACACATTTGATCATTATTGCTTACCTAAAATATGCAATCACATGCTTTCAGCAGCTGTAGTAATAATCTAAACTTACATAGCTACACAAATAATAGATGCTGGTTAATTGGCAGTCATTGACACACACGATGTTAACTCATATCAGAATTTATTATGTTAGATAAATTGTTAAAACAAAAACACTATAAATCTTTAGAAGAAATTATGCAAATATATTGAAGCCATAAGTTATTTACACGGCAAGATTCCATTTTATAAATGAAACATTTTGTAACTATAAAATAAGAACCAGAGTAATATGATGAAAACAATTAAGATTTTATATATATCGCACTACCTCTAGTTGGTATATTATATCTTAAAATAATAGTAGTTTGTAATAATATCAATAATATACTCGTATTAAAATTTTAACTCAAAACTGTTTTTCAAAGAAGAAAAAAATAACTTTCCTAAAATCGAGTAAAAAAAGAGAAGAAAAGATATCTAATTTATTATATCCATTGTGGGATGAATAATAAGATGTTTAATTTGTAATATTATTATTAAATAAATAGATGGCGTTAAATAATTAAATGCAAATTGTTGCTTATATTTATTATCAAAAGCATTTATTAGTAAAAACTGTCAAATACGTCTGTAAAAGTGGCTTTTTACCTAATATTTTATAACCAATTATATATAGTAGAGGATTATAAACTATATTACTTAATACTTAGTTGGCCTTGAAAATATTTTTAGGAAGAGGCATGTAATTAAATTTAAAAATGAATAATATAATGTTAGTGATTTTGACTCGGCTAATTACAATATTAAACTTGTTAATTTTCAATTAATAAATGATTATATTTATTTAAATAGGGTTATATAATGATCTAAAAAATAAAAGTTAATTAAGCTTTAACTGTTTATGCTAAATAAATATTTAGTGAGTGATATTGATATTCTATTGGTTAACACAGAATTTGATTGCAGGCTGATATGTAAAAATATAATTTATATGTATTAATCTAATCTAATAATTAAAATAATATTCATTTAATAAAAATTAAGATAGTCTTTTAGATAAAAAAATTAAATCTATATATTACGTAATAGAATTATAAAAGAAATCGTTCAGGGAGCAATCAAAAAATTTATTTTTAGTTCTAGGGGCTATTAAGGAGTCATTAAAAAAAATCTTTTTACTTAAGGGGCCTACTCAAATATTTCAGAGGGCTCGAGCCCCTGCGCGCCCTCCCATAGTGACGCCACTGATATGAAATTATGTTATATATTTCTATATTTTCAACATTATAATTTTTTTTTCTAGTGTTAATTTAATAAAGACGCCATTTTATATTATTATCATTTGCAAACTTGCAAGAAATGGCAACAAACGACATACATAATGATTATTATGAAGGGGATGAATTTGAGGAGATTGATCAAACATTAGAACAGCATTTTATTGAAAGTCAAAAATTAGAAAATAATGATAACTTAAATGATCTTCCTAGCTGTAAAAGGTTACGTCTAGAAGCTGTAATTATTCAAAACAAGGTAGATAAATATCACATCAAAGATAATTTGGATATTGAAATTAAAGAGGATATAACTTTGAATCATATTAAAGGTAGTTGATTATAAATAATAAGACATTTAATATTTTTTTAAGCTGAAATGAACCAAATATTAACTTATGATAATGCACAAAATAATACCAATATTCACTCAGCCCTTGACGATCATTATTCCTCTCAAATAAAATCTATTGGAGAAGATCCAGTATATTTTGATATTATTACAATGATAGAAAATATTCCTCATAATAATCGGAAATATATAGAAGATCAATTAATGGATATATTATCTTTTACTAAAAATTGTTTCTCTGAGACACTCCAATCATGGTATGAAAATTTTGATTTGTTACAAAAACAACATGATGAAATTCTGAAAAATATTACAGATTTTAATGCATGGGTCACGTTACTACAATATTGTGAAAGTTTGGTATGTATTAAAATCACATTTTGATATTATATTTACATATATAGTTAAGAAATCCTCAAGTTATAAAGGAGGAAAAGCAACAAGTAATAACTTGTTTTATAGATTTAAAAAATTTACCTTAACTACAGATGGCACTCGAAGTTTTGCGACATTCATTTAAGGAATTTCTTAAGAGGTATCCTTATTGTTATGGTTATTGGAAAAACTATGCTGATATTGAAAGGAAATTTGGACTTCTAGATAATGTATTTAAGGTCATTATTTTTGTTTTTTTACTAAATATATTTATTACATTTTAAATGCACAATCTTCTATGAAATACAAAAAAAACAACAGGTTGGTTTTAAAATAATGAATATATTTATACTTATAATTTTTATTTCTTTGGTGCGGTATAATACAAATTCTCTTAGGGTATCAAAATGGTTTATTTGTTTGATACAGTATAAAAATGGATATAAAAGTCATCCAGGCTTTTTGTATATTAAACTAACCCGTTATTAAAAAAATATATTTTATGTTATTTATTTCCTTATATTTAGATTTATGATAAAGCATTAAAAGCATTTCCTAATAGTGTTGACTTATGGATATTCTACATTAATTTTATAATTGAAAATTCTGCATCTGAAAACTCCAATCCATTTATATCTACTCTTGTCATTACTGAGCATCAATGGTCTGATGAACAAATTAGAAAGTAATTCTTGACAATTAAATTAATTTATTATTAGTATATACCAGGGCTGTAATTAAATATTATTTATAATGTTTAAAATAAATCAAATTATTTTAAAGATAATGTAGCTAAAAATTTGGTATTAATTTTTATTTTATTATCTACAACAAAAAAAGGGTAAAAACATATCTATTTACATTAAGCCAGAGTTGTTAATGTTCCTTTTTAAAAGTAGCTAGCTCACTCCTACCTTCTCAAAAGGAGCTAGCTCCCACTCCCGTACTACATAAAAGAGCTAGCTCCCGCTCCTAGTAATGGAGTGCCACTCCATAACTGCTCCTTTGATTTTCATTTTTTAGAAAGTATACGAAACAAAATCATATATTTTTTTTATCAAAAAGCTTTATTTATATTAAATAATCTATCAAATATTTATAACCTTTTATTGGCTTTTAAAAGTAATAAATTTTCTAAATTAGAATCTAACAAATATCCACACCTCTCCCCTAATGCCTCTTTTGCAATACTAAATAGGTGCTCCATAGGAGAACTAGAGGGAAGCGAGGTATTGTATTAAATATATTTTTTAATTCAGGGAATTTATCAAAAATAATAATTCTGATATTATTATTTAAAAAATATTTGTCCAATATATTATTTTCCTGATGATCAATTTCATGGAATCCAAAAAAATCATTTTGTATTTATACTTTTTTAAATTGAAGCTGCTCACTTTTGAAAATTAAATAGTTTTATTTAAACAAAAAAGACATTTTGCCCTTAAATTTGTTTGATCCATTTGGATCAACATCCTTTAGAAGTTAAAATATTTTTTGTATGATGGAAATGGAAATTCGATTTCTTCATCTATGATCTCTAAATCCATAATATTTTTTATTATATATCTATAAAATGAATATTAATGTCTACAAGATTTTCCAAAAAATTTTCAATATAAAAAGGACTTGATGTTTAATATTTAAAATGATTAGATGAAAAATATAAAACTTGGCTAAACATTTAATATTGGATAAATTTAAATAAAATAAAATTTCATTTTTATTGAATTTTAATTAACAAATATTATTAATATTTAAAAAATAATTTAATTTATATATAAGGGATTGTTGCTTCTCCACTTCAGCCCTAAAAGGAGCTAGCTCCTGTTCCCCCTCCTTAATTTTAAAAAGAAGGGGTGCTATAGGTGTTTTTGAAAATATGTAGCAGAGCTCCAGGAGTATCATTAACAACTCGCTAATGTTGTTAAATGATCTGATTTACCCAATTTTTGAAAATGGCTAGCTAAAGATTTTATCTATTACCCAAAATGAGATTGAAAGGTTTTGATTAGATATCTGTAAAAGTAGGCCTGCCTGATATGCCTGACCCAGTCTGAATTTTTTAAAAAAATATTAGGCCCAACCCAGCCTGAACTCAATTTTTTTTTACTATATCGAAATTTATCAATTTTTTGTTGAATTTTTAATGTAAAATAAAAATTTATAGAATTAGAAACTAGACGCCCATAACATATATCTTTAATTCCTATATTTAAATAAATTTGGAAAAACTTTTTAAAAAATATTGCTAGTTAAGGCCAGGCAGGCAAAAATTTTTTAAAAAAATTTTGGGCTGGGCTTGAAAAATTAGGCCAGGTGCATATCACTAGTTTAGATATCTATTGGCAAAATTTTGAGACTTAGGTAATATTAGTTTAGCTATTAATTTAACCCTTTTTTAAAAATTGGGAATTTTAACCATTTATCAATACTCAATCCAGCTAGTCCATATTTTAAATTAGAAAATATTGATTTTTTATAACTTTGGTTCAAAGATAGATATAAAGGGTCAGTATTAGTTTATAATATTGGGAAATATCAGATCACTCAAAAATTTATGGATTGGCACAACCCTATTATATACAAACTCATTAACCAAAAATATTGATTAAAAAAATATTCATTTATGAATTTAATAAACAAGATTATTTGAGAAAGCCATACAAAAGGTTGGATCAGATTACAAATCAGAACCATTTTGGGATTTATACTTAACTTGGGAGATGAAACATGGAGAAATGAGGAAGGTTACCAAAGTATTTGATTTAGCCTTGAAGGAAATGACAGCTGCTTACAGACAATTTTTTGAAAGGTATTATTTAAATCATGAAAAATATATATTTGTTGTCAAATGTTTTACAATTTTTAAGCTTTTTAAATTTAACCAGGGCCATTCCACGTCAAATTGATCATGATTTGGCCGACCCCTTTTAAAATTGCTAGAATTATTGACAGGTAAAAATAAGAAAGCATTTATTTTAGCTCAGCACACTGGATTCCCTAGATTTAGGGGCTCAGAGCTGCAAAAAAGAACCACTTTAGAATCTGTAAAAATTTTAAAATGCATATATCTTAAAAACTATTTATAGTAAAAAAAATATACATATTGTAGGTAAAAGAAAATATAATATATCATATTGTAGGTAAAAAATTCGTCAGATAGAGTGCTCTGATTTACGTTTCACTGGAGGAAAACGAGGCTAAATTCTACGTCTTTGGAATTGAGAATTGCTTCTTGTGACAAATTGTATAAATATGAAAAAAAATTAGGGGTATTTTTCCGGGGGTTTATTTTCCGAGAGTTTTTTTCCTGGGTTTATATTTTCCAGGGGTTTTTCCTATTATCTCATCAACCATTGATTGTCATAAATACATGTTATATATCCATTTATTTTTTCATGTAGTAAATTTGCATTAATATTCAAGTGAAATGTTATATTTAATATTTGCGATTCTGTTGAGTTTGAATAAAATTTAGCTTTAATTTTATCCTGAGAAATTGGTTGAAAAGTATCAAATTCTTGTATTCCTCGTATTGTACATGCTTTATTGAATCTCTCTTATAAAATTATTTGCTCTTTCTCATATTCTTCTTCCATAATATAGGGAGATATCTATTACTTAATAAAAAAATTATAATATATATTAAAAAATTATAAATTTCCTTAGAATAGGCAAAAACTTTTTAGGATATATTTGTTCTGAAACAGGTCTTTGTAAGCCTGCTCTGACCACTAAACGTTTGACTGTACCTCCGACCCTACCATAAGCTGATTTGCCATAAGATGTGGCCCAGAAATGCCACTCAGCTTTTATCCTAAATCATCTTCATGGTGGCAAAGATTGATTAATTTTTTGCGATTTTCATATTCTGGTGCTGCTCCATCTGAAAAGAAGAATATTTTTTTGGTCGGCTGGAATTTCTCTGTTAAGTAGCAAACTAAATATTTTTGGAATAAATGATCAGAAATTGTATTATGAACAAAAGATTCAGATTATGGCGTTAAAACGAAAAGGTTAAATAAAAGAAAAGGGGCTTTTTTCAACACCCAATTCTAAATCTGGTAAGACAAACCACCATTGCTATTGTCAAAACTTTATATAGCAATGATGAATATAGTAGATCAATGCCTGGTAAAGGCATTTTGTATCTATAATAAGCATGGTAAAAAGATTCAATTCACGAGAGCTATATCTTAAATTTAAAGATAATGATTCAAATATTTAAATTTGATTCTTTAAATTTTATAATCTACATCCCGAGAATTGTGTATTTGTTGGCATCAGTGGTGCCCATTCAATATGTGTTTGCTCCATTCATCAAAACAAAATTATTGCTGATGAGTTTGCTCAAAATTACTATAAATGAAGATTTAATTTAGATTACATATAAGGATATATTGTCAAAAATAATTTGTATCCAGCATTGCCAAAATGTTTTTTTGGTGATTGTGATCAATGTCTTGGATCTTCTTATTTAAAGGCCATGATAAGTGAAATATTATATTCAAGTGATATTGAATATATTACTTACAAGCAATGGGTAACTACAGATTGCACAGATCTTTTAACTATCACTTCATCAACCTCTAATTCTTTAGAAATAATTTTCGAAAAGCCAAATATTTTACTATTACTCATTCATAACAAAGCAGCAAACAATATTCATGAATTCTCTTAAAATTAATTCAAATGAAGGAGGATATAAGTTCAGGCAGATTTTGCTGATAATTATGTCTTTTTGTTGAAGATGATATAGAGTTCACTGGAATAAATCTCAAGTTACCATTCATTCTTTTGTGATTTATTATAAGTCATTTAATAATTTAAGTTTCGTAATAATATCTAAATCTCTCGTTCATAATACAATTGCCATTCATTTATTCCAAAAATATTAAGCTTGATACTTAACAGAGAAATTTCAATGCCGACCAAAAAAATTCTTCTACTTTTCAGATAAAGCAGCACCACAATACGATAATCGCAAAAATTTAATCAAGCTTTGTCACCATGAAGATGATTTCAGGACAAAAGCTGAGTGACATTTCTGGGCCACATCTCATGGCAAATCAGCTTGTGATGGGGTCGGAGGTACAGTCAAACGTTTAGTGGGGGCAGGTTTACAAAGACCTGTTTCAGAACAAATAACTTGCTCTAAAGAATTTTGCCTATTCTAAGGAAAATATTAAAGGTATAAGATATATAATTTTTTTATTAAGGAATATTTCTTTTACATTTTGGAAGACGAATATGAAAAAGAGCAAATAATTTTAGAAGAGAGATTTCAATAAAGCATGTACAATACCAGGAACGCAAAAAATTCATCACCCAATTTCTCAGGATAAAATTGAAGCAAAATTTTATTCAAACTTCACAAATATTAAATATAACATTTCACTTGAATATTAATGCGAATTTACTATATGGAAATATAAATGGATATATAACATGTATCTTTGACAATAAATGGTGGATGCCCTATGTTTTAGAAAAAAAATCGAAAAAGAGGATTTGCATCCTCAAATACCCTCAAATTCTATACATATCACTCCTTGATTGATATTATGTGGATACATAAATCTCAAATTATAGATGAGGTCATTTCAACTGCTACTGGACAAACATATACATAAGGACAAGATAATTAAAATTATTCATCTTTTTAATTTATTTTCTTAAAATATATAATTATTTATATCTAACTAATTTTTGTTTTTCAATAATATTTTAAATTATGGAATGAATATGATCTATCTATATTTCTATATTATTAATAAAAATTGATAATAAAAAATTATACAAATGATATTTATTATTGGAAATTTGTTACATTATTAAGTGTCTAATGGCTTTTTCCTACACTGCTCTTCAGTTTAATTGGTATATTTAAAAGAAATTCGAAATTTTTTAAAAAGGGAAAATATCCTGCTATTGATAAGTTAGCAACAAAATTTAAACATAATCCGTAATTTCATAAAGCCTTTTTTTCAATTTTTGGTAAAAATGTATATTTAGAATAGTCGATAGAGTCGCCAAGGTTATGACATAGTATATATATTTATAAAGGGTGTCTAAATAAAAAGTAAAAAAAAGAATTTCGAAAACAGACTCTTTTTTGCTTATGGAAACACAGGTAAAGCAATTTAGGCAAACCAAAAGTTAAAGGCTCAAATTGGTGCCAATTTTTATTGTTTTTTGATAGCCTTTTAGAAATTTTTTTTTTACCTACCATATGATTTATTATATATATTTTTTTATTATAAATAGTTTTTGAGTTATATGCATTTTAAAAATTTTAGATTCCAAAGTGAATCTTTTTTGCACCTATGAGCCCCTATATCTCGTGAACCAGGTGTGCTAGCGAGCTAAAATAAACGGCTTTCTCATTTTTTACCTGTCTAAATAATTCATAAATTTTTAACATTTTTAAAAGAGGTCGGTCAAAAATGTGTCTTTTTTGATCGATTTGTTATGACCCACCAGTAAAATAATATTAACTAAAAACTGATATATGTTTAATATTACATAAAATTATTAGATTTAAAAATCACATTGAAACAAATGATATACAAGAGATCATAACCGAGGAGGAACTTGACAGAATTAAACGAGATCTAAACTTATTTAATCCTAAACACAGACATTCTACAGAAGTATTGTATATCTTATAATATTTATTGATCTATATATATTATTACTTGATAATTCTAAAATAAAATTTATCCATTACCTCTTGATTATTATATGGTTCTAACTCTAAATCAACTTTTATCAAAATTAAGTTATGGGCAAAACTTTTTTTTAAACATATTTTAAAAATCTGTCACAAAATATTTTTAAGTTTTAATATAAAGTTCTTATTTTGTAAACTATACAATGGTGCCAAAAATCACTCCTTTAAGATTGATCAAAATAGAGTTATCTAAGATGCACTAGTACCACTATTTTGTATCTTATTCATGCAATTTATTTTATTCAATTTATTTTATTCAATTTATATTTAGTCATATTGGCTTAAACCTTGTGGGTCCATTGGAGTTTTGATCATCTTGTTTACCCATCACATCTAAACTCTTAACCTGTTTCATATTTAGTTTTTAGGCATTCCCATCATATGTTCATAGTACATAAGTCTGTTCACCATGATCTTTGTTTAAATGGGTACTAGTAATCTGCATTGGGCCTAATTTTTGGGCTAGACTAAAATATGAATCCCCATAAACTAAGAATCTCCTATTAAACAAGCACTATTTAAAAATTTTATATTTTCTTGTTTAGCTTTTCTATGTGATTTATAAAATGTTATTTTTAATTTAAAAAAATAAAAGGTAAGACATTTTTTCTGATGTCAAAAATAAAAATCTGCTAATTATGGACTATTATAAAAAATGAAAATAGATTCAAGTCTATCTCTTTAACGTGATTCAGAAAATGTAAAAATTATTTTTAAAGTAATGGGAAATAAACACTATTCTTTTGACTAAAGTAATAATCCCCATTAAAAAGTATCAAATTTAAAAATTAAAGATAGAATCATATATAACCCTTCAAGAGGATTTAGAAAATGTTAATATTAATTTTTTAGATTAAATATATTTAAAATTTATATTTTTGACTAAAATAAAAATCCACTATTAAAAAAGCTCAAATTTTAAAAATAAAATATAGAATCATGTATAACTAACTCTTTAAGAGGATTCAGAAAATTTTGTGGTTTTTTTTAGATTCAAAATATTTATTTTTTGACTATAAGAATCCCATATTAAAATGCCTCAAATTTAAAAAATAAATTTTAGAAACAGTACAACTCTTGGAGAAAATTCACATTATGTTAACATGAATTTTTTTTAAAATTAAAATACTTATTTTTTGACTAAAATAATAATCCTCTATTAAAAAGGCTCTAATTTAAAGATTCAGATAATATTTTTTTTGAATACCTCACTAAATAGCACTAATTTAAAATATAAGGAATTTCCAACTTATATTGGAAAAAAAATCTAGAGAATCTTAATTTCCTTAAAACTACTTAATATCAATGTCTAAAATTTTTAGGTACATTAAATCTGATAAAACCCCTTTAATGAAAAAAGGAAATTTAATTTTATAAATAAGCTATACATTCTAATTATATAGATTTTAAAAATGCTACTTTTTAAGACATGATATATATATTATTGTTTTTTGCCTTTGCCTCAAGTTTCAGGCTTAATTATTAATTCAACTGACAATAAATATTAAATTTTCATTTTACCTAAGTTATCATCATCTGTATTTTATGCATAAAAATTACATAAGGATTTCTTATAAAAAATTATAGTATCTTAATAACAGCATAAGTCTTACTTGGCAGATTTTTGAAAAACGTTAATAATTTCTTGATATTAATGGGCCTTATATTTTTTTAAAGATATTGCCTATTTGAATTAGAATCTGAGTAAACACCGCCCACTCTTTCGCTATTTTTTTCCCACATATGATATATTTTAATTTCTTAACCTATATAATAAATTTATGTGGTGTTAAGAATATGTTGCTATTTAAGAAAAAATATTGAACCAATATTTTATTTTTAAGATATATGTTATTAAAAATTTTTAAATTAAAAATATATTTAATAATACACATAACATATCAATTTTCATAATTTAATAAATGATATTATATCATTTGTTACTCAACTGCAAGCTAGGAATTTTCATAATTTAATAAATGATATATCATTTGTTTTATCAACTGCAAGCTAGGGTGGCGGATTTGCAGGATCTCAAGGAGGGTTAACCATAGGACACTGATTAATATTGGTGGAAGAGGGGGTGATAGGCTCAGGAGATGGAATGACATGTGGAAGAAAGGAAAATAAGTGCAGCGTCCAGCCTATGTGATATACTTAAAAAATATTATTTTCAAAGAGATAAAATATGTAAATAAAAATGTTAACTTATGATTAGAATAAAGACACTTACAATATGTAACATAACGATTTCTCTCGCACATAAATCAAATTAGGGCTTCTCTTTAATTTGTTTTAGGCCTATATAACTCCCATCCTCTTCCGTTATTGGGTCTTATCTCCAAATTTATTAGCTGTCCACAAAGCAATGCCTAAGACCTGGCATCTTTCAGCCAACTATCGGATTCCAGTTCCAACTATATATAGATGCCAGTTAAATATGACATGTAAGCGAAGAGGCTTGGAGATATATTGGTCTAGTACAAATTCGAGATATCTTAATTTGCTATAAATGCAGGGGGAATCACTAGATACTGTGAGCGTCGATACTCTAATTACTTTATGTCCTAAGTAGACGTTTTTATTTTTTGATTTTACTTAATGTTATTTAACTATGACAATATATATTTATGTATTGAACCAGAACACATTAATTATTATAAATGAGTAAAATCATTCAACTCATTTTAATTAATATTGACAGTAGATCACATAATAGGTAGGACATGCACCTGGCTATACCTATTTCCTCTCCATCTCGCCTATTACCCCATCTTCCTGTTACTCCTTCTCACATGCCTGACGCCTGTTACCTCATTCCTCGCGCCTATTAACTAGTCTCCCACAAATGCACACCCTATTCCCAAACCACCTAATTAGTCACTCTTTCTATCGGTTGAAAAACTAATAAATGAAGAGAGTAGTAGATTATGAAAATTATATATAATTTTAAGTATTATTATATTACATTCTGAAATAAATAAAATATTTATTTTGAAATATTGGCCCAAAATTTTCAATATGTTTACTTTTTGTTGTAATTAGCAAAATGTTTTCAACATCACGTAAATTTATTTTACATATTTTAAGGTTAATAAAATAAAATATATCATAAAAATAATACTCGAAAGAGTGAAGCTCTTTAATATTATAAAAAATATGAATATTAACATTTTCTGTATCTTAAAGATCGTTCCTGATTCTATAATTAATTTTCTTTTTCTTAGGAATTTTAATTTTAGTCAAAAAAATTAATTTTTTCAATATTTAAAATTTAAAAAAAATATTGATATTAACTTTTTTCTGAATCCTCTTTAAAAGTTATACATGATTATATATTTTATTTTTTAAATTTGATTTTAATAGGGGATTCTTAGGGATTTTTATTTAGTCAAAACAAATAGTGTTTTTTTTAATATAATATCCCACTACTTTAAATATTATTTTTTAAATTAATTTTTACATTTTCTGAATCACGTTGAAGAGATAAACTTGAATCTATTATTTTTTTTTATAATAATCCATAATTAGCAGATTCTTATGGAAATTCATTCCCGTTAAGCTCTTCAATATGATTTAGGAAATGTTTTTTTAAATATTAAATAAAAAGTTTTACAATTTAGTGTATATTTTTACGATTTTTAAATGGTTGAGCAAATGATGATTTGGTATATAATTCATAGATCCTTGCTTTTTTAGATGGATGTTTATTTGCATTTTATATATATCAGAAAATAAAAGCTAAATGGTTTTGATGGTTAAAAGTGTGCCGATCCACATAATTTTCACCGATTCGGCCCGATATTGGTTCAAAACCGATTCGATATTTATACTGATTTTTCACCATCCCCCTTTGAACCAAATGTAATTAAGAAATTGTTGTAGCTGTAAAAGAAGAATAAAATTTAATATAATACATCAAATGTCAGTTATTTTCTGACAGGGAAATTAGTTTTTTATTGTGGATAGGAGTAAAACAAAATTATCACATGGGTTGTTTTTAAGAAAGTTTCTTTGTTTGCTATTTGGAGTGAAGATATTGGATGAAGACGGGATTGATTGGGGAAAATTTAATATGTTTATACGTATACATGAATAAAGTGGAATTGTAGTAATGTTTATTATATTTATTTAATATTATTAAAGGGATTATTTTGGATTGATAACAGAGTTGTTAAACGCTATTTTTAAAAGTAGCTCGCTACCGCTATAGCTATTTTCAAAAAAAGTAGCGCGCTATTAGCTACTTTTTTTCAAAAGTAGCTTTAGCTACTTTTAAGCTACTTTTTATAAAAAAAAATTTAGGAACAAATGAAACAAATTTTTTTTATTTTTTTTTGCTTATAATGTAAATGTATAATAAATAATATATAAAAATCAACATTTATAAATATAAAAATATAGTTAGTTTAGATTATAAAAAAATAAGCAATATAAATAAATATTTATTTTAATTTGTTGCATTTTAATAATAATATCATTTCAATATTATCATCCCCAAGTCTAGAGCGACGATCAGAAAGTATAAGCTTTGCTTTACTAAATAATCTCTCGACACTAGCACTTGAGGGCAAGGGGGTATTTAATTTTATATATAAATTTTTAATATATGAAAAATTATCAAAAATATTCATTTCAATATTTTTTGATTGAAAAAAAAGATCAATTGGATTTTCTATTAAATCATCTTTAATTTCAAAAAAATTATTTGAGGATGTCTTCGTGGTAGATACTCGGCAATCTATGTTTGTTGGAGTAAGATTATTCAGCTTCGCCATTAGCCTATCGCGTTGATGTTTGGCATCATCGGAATTTATATATGGCCAGTTTAGTTTAAACTTTGGATGAACCATTGCCGCTAAGACATTGTCATCATTGTATAAGTTTGGAAATCTAAAAGTTACAAAAATAGAGTATTTT